GAGAGAGAGAGAGAGAGAGAAAAGGAGGATGTGAGAGAGAAAGAGACAGAGAGTGATATATGCAAAAAGACAGTGATACCTCCGAGGTGTATACATTAAAAGCGTATTATTTTAAGAACGGAAATGTGAAAAAATGTGCGTTTATGTAAATATCAATTTTAACCTCAGTCAACAAATCAATGTCACTTCAGCGCAACTAACATACAGAAGGCCTTGTGTTACCGACACTACTTCGTCATGTTTATCCCTTGGAGTGGGTAGGAGCCTGCGAGGTTTATAAACCTTTCATGGCTCTTTTTTTCTCTCTCTGCGAAGGACGATAAACAACAAACAAAAATAGTTTGGTATGTGTCTGAATTACCTGAACATAAATACTAATAGACAGACGACGAAGGACGATTTTCTTAATCTATCTTAGAGAGAAGCAGTGATGAAAATCTCCCTATTCGTTACTGTTTTGCCACAGCTTATTCCTATTTGCCTGACATCGTCATGTTTAAGCCGAGGGTTAAATTTAATTTTAAGATGAGTGCCTCCAAAACTTTTCTAAAAAAGTGTATGTCATGATGAAAAAAAGGCGCTAAACTTGATTAAAACAAAGTATTATCGTCAAAATATTTTGTTATTATTAAGAGGAGAGACCAAAATATTTTTGATTATCTCATTAAATTTGTTAATCCTTTCTAGAATATTCGAAATTTTACTTAAAAATCTTTTTTTTTGCGTCAGCGTGTTGGCCAAAGATAATTATTGTGAAATTCAGCATCTCTTTTTGTGGTGAAAAAACATTGTTTTGGAAATTCTTGCAGAAATGTTGTTGGATTTTAAGGAAATTTTCACTTATTCACAAATTAAACTGTTGTAGAGTAGCTAAACTCCCCACTTCAGCACTCTACCAGATGGCCTAACTCATAGCTTTAAATAGTCCACGATTAAGGACTTCAACAGTTGATTAATGTTGATACTAAGCTGATAAATATTCGCACTTAACTTACTTCGTTTGGCTATACCGCATTTGACTCTCCTCTATTCCTTGTAAGTTGTCTTGTTAATTCTTTGTAACTTATTGTTCTGTGTTTTTTGCATGTATCCATTAGCACCGGATACTGGTGCTGAATAAATATATTAAGCAACCATTCTTCTCTTTGTATCACTCATCTCGACGATATAACATATTTCTTTTAATTTCTTTTCTTAGAAAATCATGGTAGAAATATATATATATATATATATATATATATATATATATATATATATATATATATATATATTACATCCGTTACTTCCACTTACTTAAGTTTATGAAATTTCAGCCTGTTCATATTTATTTTATTTGAAAGCAGAATAACTGCTTGGAGAATTTAAATCATCAATTTTTTTTTTTTTTTTTTTGAAAAGAAACATAATTTACCCAATATCTGCTCTGAATCCTAAAATAAGAAATGCAATAAAGTGAAGAGATCATTTCATTAGAAAAAAAATAATTGCTTTTATACATAAAATATATTAGGGACACTATTGTCTTAAGAAAAAAGTTCGATGAATAATGAATTTTTATGAGAATTGTTTTCATTTAAATTTTAAGTATAAAAACTTACTAAATCTTTTAAAATTCTGTAATAATATCAGCCTTTTAGATGATATTATTAAATGAAAAATATATTTTTATTAATCATAAATGAAAGAAATTAATACGAATCATCAAATAGCAATATTTTAAAAGAATTTTGAATTTTTTATTAGTCTATAAACGTGCCGATTTTTGTTAGTACGGTAGACCATACCCGACATAATAAGAAAATAAGAGTGATAACTATAATAAATTTAAAGCCAACATTTCTAAAACTTAATAATACATTAGATTACAAAGAATGTTTTCCTAAATTTTTTTAATCAATTAAGACTACGTAAACACCGATATTGTCAAAAAAGAGCTATTTGGATTACAAATCATATTTTAAACTTTTTATTTGTTTCAAAATATTCCTCATAAAAAAAAAAGTAAATAGAATTACATTATGAAAGAAGACTAAAGAGTAAACTCCTTCAATCAATTTAAATTTGAGAAAAGTATTTTACTTATTGGAAATATAAATATTCATGAACTAAAATAAAGTTCAAGAAAAACACCGATATTGTATAGCGTTCGTTTGGTAGTACCCAGGTTAAAATATATATATATCTGTTGATTGCATTACAAATTGCATTTCTATCTTAACTTCTATATTTTAAATATATATATATATATATATATATATATTATATTTTGTGTGTAAATTATGAAAATCGAGACTTTAAAAGATCGTATTAATTTTTTAACTCATCAGACCAAACATTTTCACTAAAATAAATGTATGCAAGTTTATAAAAAAACATTTATCTAAATCTTTAGAATGATTTTTATTCCTCAAATAAAGTTTTTTTTGTGGAGTGTCTCTACTTTGGGTCAAGAAATAAAATTTCTATCAAAACAGTTTAATATTTTTTTTAAATCTACGCGTAATTTCAATATTTTTTTTTTTAAATCGAATGGATCCTGTAGGTTTGAGACACCATTAAAAACAAAACGACTCTTGAAATTAAAACGTTCCGGCCTTCTTCAGGTTTATTTCATTTTTATTTCGTTCAAAGAAGAATTCCTCTGCCAGATTCAATAATTTCAATTTTTTTTTTTTTTTTTTTTTTGTTCACTACAAAACAAAACAACGCTCCCACTTATGTCCAAAATGAACTAATTTAAATTTTAATATTTTCTTTCTTTCAAAAACCAAACAGCGATGAAAAAAACGGGAAGCAAATAAGGGCGTATATAATTACTCAAGCAGAATTAAGACTAGTTTTAAACCGCGAAAACTCCATTTTAATATTCTGATGAATCAATTTGAAATTAATGATTTTGGTTCTACGAAATAAAATATCCAAGAAATATTGCATCGTTTTTTACTTGAGCGTGATTTTGAAAACAATCATTTGATTCTATTAACTTGAAAATAAAAGCTTTCAAGAAAGATTATCCATCGTGAAAAATTCATTTTGATCCTTTTTCCCGCAATCAAAACGTATAGCGTTCGTTTGGTAATGGTCGTACGAACTAACCCGGACACACAAGTACACATAAGATATATATATATATATATATATATATATATATATATAAAAGTAATATCCCAATCGCTGAACATAAATTTTCGGCTGTTGTCTCCGGGGAGTGGATGTCTTTCGAATTGTATAACCTTCAGAGAAGTTTGAACTGAAACTTATTTAATTTGTGAGATTGTGTTTATGCCGCTGTCTATATCTATAGATATCATTGTCCTGTTTGTTTGTTTTTTTTTATTTTAATATTTTAATTTTTCTTATTTCTGCTCATTTCTTCTTAGTCCAGTTTTTACTGTATTGCATCTAGCATGAAACCAACGCTTTTGATTCTGTCGCCCATTAAATCTAAAAGCTAGAACTTAAATATTATCTTTTCATTGTCTTTTCTGCTCCTGCAACCTTCCTGTTCTGTATTTCCAAATTCGGGGCCCTTCTCTTTGTTACCGCTGTCTCAAATCTTGCTATATATCTTCTCCGCCATCATTTCTCTTTTTTCGGTATTAATGTTTCGCATATGGTATTTATATCTATACTGGGTCTATTACAATTTTTAGATACATTATGTAACTAGTGAGCTAGCCCAAATGACTTGACTCACTTTATTGTCCACCAATGGAAGGTCAACCAATCAGAAGACGTAGAATATTCAATCCGTCATGTATAAAGGCGGCCATTTTGTTTACTCTACCCGAATGTCCAGTTCCAGCTTGTCAGGCGAAGAGAAACAGAAGGAAGAACTACGCTCTGCTACCTTTACCGGGATATCCACTACTAACCTGAACTACGCTTCCCTACTGTCTTCGAAATATTCACTGCTAACCTCTGGATTCTATACTCAAAGACGACCGTCATCATGAACAACAGGGTCTACTAAGGAAGTTTTCATAGCCTAGCATATACGCTAATGAGGAGTCGCCATTAATTACGTATTTACAATCGGGTTGATATACACTTCTTTATTATCATTAGCACAACGTTTCGACATTTATACCCTCTGGTCTTCTTCAGGCATCTGCCGAATCGGGTAACCTTTCGGGAATTTTGATGTTAAACCTTTATTTAATTAGGGAGGATTGATTGTTTTCATTCTACTGTCTAGTGATATCTCTTTCTTATTTTTTCTTTTGTTTTATTTAGTACAACACAGTCATTGTTAGTCATATTTCGTAGAGTTTGTGTCTGCTGTCATCTCGTCTACAGTCACTTCTCACAGACAGCTGTGGATTCCCTCTGCCTTTTCTCCAAATATTTTCATGTCAATTGACGAGCTACTTTCACTCGTACTCAAACTACCTGAATTTAAGCATGTTACTAGTTTGGCATTTCGGTCCCACCTTTTCACCGTCGAAACAGTTAAATGTAACCGCCTCTTCTACCGCAAGAGATTCTTATGTCGCACTTCCCGCCAGTGGAACTCTCTTCCTCTTACTTGCTTCCCTGATAACTATAATCTTCAAATATTCAAATGTAATGTCAATCGACATCATCTGATGCCTTGATGTTGATCCCCGTCTTTCTCTTAATCCTTTCCTCAAACAACCTTCTTTACTTTTACGCTCACTGTCTGTAATACCATGCGTGCTAGTGACACAGTCGCCTTGATTGGGTTGAAATAATTTAAAAAATAGTGGAATTACAGTTACTATGCTACCAAATGAACAAACTAACATTGGAATCCTTTCGGCTAGGGTGCCGTTGGTCAATCCTGAATTGAAAACTTGGAATCTTCAACGTTATATTCGTATTGTCACTTCTGCTGCTACTGTAACCTTGCTATTAAGTGAGATTCGCTATAATGCCGTTTTTTATGGCTGATGCTAAAGTCTTGATGTTAAGCTTGGCACTCTAGGCCGTTGCCTTTTTTTTTCTTTTGCATTGTCTATCTCAATATTTAAATCGAAATGTCATTTATTAACATATATTTATTCATTCTTTTCTTCCTTTCCTTTTACTCACAATATTGTTCTTTATTTATCTTTTCTTTCGTTTTCTTTATTTTTTCTTTCTTTATCATTCTTTCCTTTTTCTTTCTGTTTTTTTTTTCTGTTGTGTTTTTTGTTCTTTCTTTCTTTCCTTCTTTTTCCTTTCTTTTTCTCCTTCTTTCTTTCTTTTTTCTTTCTTTCTTTTTCTTTCTTTTTCTTTTCTATTTTCTTTCGTTTTTTCTTTTCGTTCTTTTTCTCCCTCACTTCTGTCATTATTTACATGCCAATGACAAAATTTCTAAATATATCTTCGTTCTTTCTTCCTTTCTTTCTTTCTATTTTCTTCATTTTCTTCATTCTTTTTTTCTTTCTTTCTTTTTCGCCCTCATTTCTCTCAATGTTTACATACCAATGACAATTATTTCTAAATATATCTCCACATTCGTTTCCTTCATTTTCTTTTTCATAATACCTCCCATATGGGATATATATATATATATATATATATATATATAGTTGAAACCTAACCTGAACAAAATAAACTATGAAATCACCACAAACATTCTTAAACGCCTATAATTTATGACAGAAATCATTGGTTTATACCAACGTTTCCCATACTTAATACTTCTTGTTTTTCACTCTCGCGTGGTCATGTGTGACGTCACGAGCTGCCGCGCGATTTTCGCTTCCTTGTCTCGTAAATACGAGTTTGTTGTTACTTTGAGCTTATTCAAGCAGCAAGGGCAGACTATTATTATAGTTTCGTATGGATGTTGTTTGATAATTGAAATGGCTTATGTAAGCCGAAAGCTTAGATTGAATTTAAACATGTATCAATATGGTGTTTTCCTTTCGTCTTTCAACGATAATGTGATTAAGATTATCTGACAATATGAAAGGAACTTACTTAAGATAAATAGACAAAACCTGTCTACATTATTTAATGAAACATGCATTAATGAAGAATTGCTGCCGAAATATATACAATATATATATATATATATATATATATATATATATACTCTGGACTTACAAAGGAATCCTTTATAGCCCAGCATATGTGCTGATTCTTTTAGACGACTGATTATGAAATTTTACTATAGAATATTTTACTACAGCTTCCTGTATTTTAATTTAAGTAATAGTAAATATTTATTTACTGATTTTTATTTTTAGGACGTCAAGAAACATTTTCGTAAGAATCTCTAGAAATGTATATTATATGAGTGAATCGCCGTCATTCCATCCATATCACCTTCCTTCTCCTGAAGAGAAGTAATCCAGGCAGCAAATACCCTTCGAGATAGAACTGGGGTTGTTACCAGGTGCCTGAGGCGTGCCCAAATCAATTTGATTTCAGAGCCCACATAAAACTCGACCTTGTGTGAAAATTGTGCAGTGTGAGTGTACGAATAAATCCCTTATGGGAAATAATGTTCACTTAGTTGAAATGCGAAATATATATTTATCTAAGTATCCCCCCAAGAATTAATGGTAGAAGAAGATTTTGCATGGCGTATTTCAAATCAGGCTTAGAAAGAATTGCACGTGAAAGATGAAACGCTGACTAACCATGTACTAAAGCTGTGGTTCCCAACCTTTTTTTTCTGTGGGTTGCATTTTCTGAATTAAAATTTACTGTCACCTCACCAAATTTTATGTGATAAAAAGTACATTTAAGAATAAAAAATAAAAATAAAAACAGAGAGAGAAAGAGAGAGAGAGAGAGAGAGGGAGAGAGAGAGGTGGGAGAGTAAAAGTGAGATAACCGCGGATTCGAAATCAGTACATTATCATTGATAACTCTCTCCTCCAATTTGCAGACCCTGGTTACTATAATCTTAATACCCGATATAATGGGAAAATATCACAATAATAAAATCGGTTAATAATTATTTATAAGTATTTATACTGTGTCTTATACATGCAATTACAAGTTATGCATAATAATAATATTTTAAACTTCGAAATCACATTTGTGTTTTTGCATAAGAATTTGCTGAAATGGTTTCTAAATCTTTGATTTTCCTTCATTCATTCTGCCTCACTTGCTATTCTCTTCCGCCTCACCTGCTATCCTCTTCCGGCTCACCTGCTATCCTCTTCCGCCTCACCAGCTATCCTCTTCCGCCTCATCTGCTATCCTCTTCCGCCTCACCTGCTATCCTCTTCCGTCTCTCGTCTGCTATTTTCTTTCCACCTCACCTGCTATCCTCTTCCGGCTCACCTGCTATTCTCTTCCGCCTCATCTCTTCCGCCTCACCAGCTATCCTCTTCCGCCTCATCTGCTATTCTCTTCCACCTCACTGCTATCCTCTTCCGTCTCAATTTTATCCTCTTCCGCCTCACTTGCTATTCTCCTCTTCCGCCTCACCTGCTATCCTCTTCCGCCTCACCTGCTATCCTCTTCCGCCTCACCTGCTATTCTCTTCCCGCCTCACCAGCTATCCTCTTCCGCCCTCACCTGCCTGCTATCCTCTTCCGCCTCACCTGCTGTTCTTTCCGGCCTCACCTGCTATTCTTCCGCCCTCTTCCGCCTCACCAATCCTCTTCCGCCTCGTCTGCTATCTTCTTCCGACTCACCTGTCCTCTTCCGCTATCCTCTTCCGCCTCACCAGCTATCCTCTTCCGCCTCACCTGCTATCCTCTTCCGCCTCGTCTGCTCCTGCTATTTTCTTCCTGCTATCCTCTTCTGCCTGCTATTCTCTTCCGCCTCACCTGCTATTCTCTTCCGCCTCACCAGCTATCCTCTTCCGCCTCACCAGCTATCCTCTTCCGCCTCACCAGCTATCCTCTTCCGCCTCACCTGCTATCCTCTTCCGCCTCGTCTGCTATTCTCTTCCGCCTCACCTGCTATTCTCTTCCGCCTCACCTGCTATTCTCTTCCGCCTCCTCTATTCTCTTCCCCCTCATTCCTCTTCCGCCTCACCTGCTATCCTCTTCCGCCTCACCTGCTATCCTCTTCCGCCTCGTCTGCTATTTTCTTCCGTCTCACCTGCTATCAGTCTCCCATCTCAACTATCCTCTTCCGTTCAATTGCTAGCCTCTTCCTCTTTTTGCTATCCTCTTCCGCCTCACCTGCTATCCTCTTCCGCCTCTCTCTTCCGCCTCATTTCTTCCTCTTCCACCTCATCTGCTATCCTCTTCCGTCTCAATTGCTATCCTTCTCGTCTGCCTCACTTGCTATCCTCTTCTGCCTCACTTGCTATCCTCTTCCGCCTCACCAGCTATCCTCTTCCGCCTCATCTGCTATTCTCTTCCGCCTCACCTGCTATTCTCTTCCGCCTCACCTGCTATTCTCTTCCACCGCACCTTTGAGGCGCGCCGCACCGTCTGACAGCCACTGCTCTTGAGTATAAATCAATCTTGAGTAAACGTTGACATTTTTCTTTTAAATAATACTCGCTACGTCCACATGGTCGAATCATCTTCATTCATTTTGTATTACGAAGAATTCCCTTCAGAGAATTTCTCCTCAAAAATCGCTGATTTGTAGGACCGACTCCCGTGTGGATACTTCCTCGAACACTAGATTCTTAGCCTCTTTAAGTTTAGAATCAAACATTGTTTATCATAAATAATTTTTACTTCTACTTCCACCTCTTACGTTCTCATCACAAACCTCATTTACAATGGTTGAATTTCGCCGAGTGGTTAGAACGTTTGCTTTCCGACCATGAGTCCAGGGTTCGAATCATACCATGGTCGAATTATCAGAAAGGTGAATTATTGATGTTATCGGCCTGTTATTGACTTGTGTCTTGTGAGTGGAAAAGGGTCGACGAAACTATTTGGAGGCAGTAGATGATTCTGCTAGCACGAAGTGCCAAGTCATCGTGATCGAGGTTTTGAGTGTACTGGCCTTGTTCGGAGTGCTAGTAACGGTAGATGATGCGTTCTCTCCCAGAAACTCTAAGCTCCGCTTAGTGTAGTTGCATGGTAAACCGTGTTTAACAAACAAAAAGGTGCCTGAGCAGGCGTCTGCAACAGGGATTGGCTTACTGCCTTAGAAGAGAGTCATACTCGTATATGAGCGGTTAAACATTGTATGATGTTTGAACATTAGTTAATTAAAACCAGTTCAAACAAAATAAAAAATTGTTCTTTTTTTGGGGGGGGCGTCAGTGGGAAATTTGAAAATGAAATTGTCATTTGGGTCCCATTTATGGTCAACGGTCACATGAGATAAACACTTAAGCACATAGCTAATCCCCTATTTCACCAGATCCTGCAGCTTACACACCATCTTATTCAAACCTAGACCCGCGAAAGTCGCAAATTGAATTAGCGTTCTATTATATCCTTTCAGAAATTGTGCAAACATGGCTCTCCACAACATACTGTCTTTTTTTTTTTCCAAGTAAATTTTCATTTGTTACGATCTATCTTTATCTTTGTTCGGCCAGCTTCTCCTTCTTCTTCTTCTTCTTCTTCTTTCTCGCCTTCTTTTTCGTCTTCTTCGTCGGCGTCGTCTTCTTCGTCTTCCTCTTCTTAGTTGTCTCCGTCGTCGTCGTTGTCCTCTTCTTCTTTTTCGTCTTCTTCCTCTTCTCCTTCTTCTTCGTCTTCTTCTTCTTCTTGGTCGTTGTCCTCGTTTTCCTCTTCTTCTTCGTCTCCCTCTTCTTCTTCGTCTCCCTCTTCTTCTTCTTCTTCGTCGTCGTCGTCGTCGTGGTTTTCGTCTTCCTCGTCATCTTCTGTTTCGTTTTTTCTTCTTCTTCTTCTTCTTCTTCTTCTTCTTCTTCTTCTTCTTCTTCTTCTTCTTCTTCTTCGTCATCTTCTTCTTCGTCTTCTTCTGTTTCGTCTTCTTCTTCGTTGTCGTCGTCGTCGTCTTCTTCTTCTTCGTCTTCGTCTTCTTCTTCTTCGTCTTCGTCGTCGTCTTCTTCTATATGCCTTCAGAACGTCGGCCATCATGACTCTTCACAAACCTTGTCTTTTTGTCTCCCCTCTTTGTAGCCTGACTTTGCTTGACTTTCGTCTTAGAACTGAGTCCTTACTCCATGGTTTCTTGTATCACCTCCAAACTTGATCGCCACAAAGTATGTGGAATCAATGATATCCTTGCAATTGTCCCACAGAATGGTGCTCCTAAACAAGCCTCTATTTTATATAATTTATACAAGAGATGTCTTACTGCTTCTTGTTTCCTAGATTCCTGTAAATGCTTTTCAGTAATTCCTGTTTTTAAGAATTCTGCCAAATCGTCTGATCATTTGAAGTATCGAGACTTACCCAATTTTTTTTTTTTTTGGAAAATTCAACTCCTCTCCCCCACCCAGCTATGGATAAATAGTAAAGCAGACTGGGTTCGATGTTCTTGGGTGGCAATTGGTCTAGGTTTGGTTTGGTTTGTTTTATGGCATATCAACCTCAATGAGTTATTTAATGCCGACGGGATTTTTATTGTTGGTAATACTTTTTTTTCCAAAAATGTATTGCTGGTAATATTTTTTTTAAAATGCATTGCTGGTAATATTTTTTTTAATGTATTGGTGGTAATACTTTTTTTTAAATATATTGCTGGTAATATTTTTTAAAATGTATTTCTGGTAATATTTCTTTAAATATATTGCTGGTAATATATTTTTCTAAATATATTGCTGCTAATATTTTTTTAAATGCATTGCTGGTAATATTTTTTAAAATGTATTTATGGTAATAGTTTTTTTTAAATGTATTGCTGGTAATTTTTTTAAAAATGTATTGCTGGTAATATATTTTTTAATGTATTGCTAGTAATATTTTTTAAATATATTGCTGGTAATATTTTTTTAAATGTATTGCTGGTAATATTTTTTTAAATGTATTGCTGGTAATATTTTTTTTAAATGTATTGCTGGTAATATTTTTTTAAATGTATTACTGGTAATATTTTTTTAATGTATTGCTGTTATTTTTTTTTTTTTCAAAAATATGTTGCTGGTAATAATTTTTCCTCAAAAGTTTATTGCTTGTAATAAGTTTTTACAAAAATGTATTACTGGAATTAAAAACTATTTTTACACTTTCATAGTGTTTTGACCCCAGTTTGGGGGTTAACTATTTAATCATAGCTGGGAAAGTAACAGGAGCTAGCAACCCGAGTCAGAGTGGATCTGGAAACACCAGCAATTAAGAGGTGGTTCCACGCTCCTCAAAACCTTCTGATCAGAAGCCTTGCTGTTGGACGTAGTTTATCATCATATCCAGGACAGCATCGGTTGATGGAAAAGAAAATACTGAATTCAAAACCTTGGGTAGCCCTGGCGAAGCGCATACTACGAAAGTAAGGAAACAATCGTTCGCATTGACTCGATAATCCCGACTACAATCAACTCATTAACAGACTGGGTTCTATAGCCTTGGGTGGCAATCGGTCTAGGAGAAGGAAAACTTTTAATTAAAATCTGTATGTAGCGCTGGTGAAGCACATACTATGCAACTAAGGAAAGGATCGTTCGCATTGATTAGATGATCCTGACTACGGTGGACTAGAGGCTCTAATCAACTCCGAATTGTGTATTCATTCAATCACACCTCGCGGAACCTTCTTTCAAACAAACAATATGGTTTTCGCTTCTCTAGGTCGACATTTTAGTCGCTACATACATTTATTATTTTATTCCTCCATGAGAAATACCCTTGGGAAAGGTATAAATCTATCTCTTCTCTCCATCCACGAATTATGGGGGGAATAGCAGGAGAGACTGCGTTCTGTAGCCTTGCTTGTTAATCCATCTAACGCAGAAAGAAATGGCAAGTTACTGTGGGAAAATCTACTGTCTAGTCAGTCATGAAATGTAAGAGACGATCATCCAAGCTTCTATCAACGATGGCACAAAATTGACTGATTCCCCGATCGAGTTCAGACGATTTGGGAAACCAGCATTCTTCCATTTTTTTTAAAACTATCTTTCTGATCAGTTGCATAATTATCAGTCTTTCATCCTGCCTTGTTTTTTTTTTTGTTTTTTTTAACTATCTATCTATGTCAGTGTGACACTGTGTCATACTTTTTTCAATTTTACTCCTAGAGGCTGGCGTCCTGGATAAGATGTTAAACTACATCCGCGACCTGGGTAAGACGTTAAACTATGTCCAGCAGCAAGGCCTCTGATCAGGAGGTTTTGAGTAACATGGAACCGCCTCTTAATTGCTGGTGTTCCCAGGTCCACCCTGATCCGAGGGGGTAGCACCTGTTAGGGTCCCAGCTATGGGAAAATATTTAACTACTACCAGCAATACTTTTTTGAAAAAGTATTACCAGCAATACAATTTTGAAGGAAATATATATTGTTGACAAAACAAAATATTACCAGCAATAATTTTTTTGTCAGCATTAAATAACATGGAGGTTGATATACCGTAAAACAAAATAAACCAAACCAATCTAAACCAAAGAATACATACTCTATTCATACGAATCTATCCTAAAAATGTTGTCGGCATTAAATAACCCATTGAGGTTGATATGCCGTAAAACAAAATTAACCAAACCAATCTAAACCAAAGAATATATATTCTATTTATTCGAATCTATCCTAAAAATGTTGTCAGCATTAGCTAACCCATTGAGGTTGATATGCCATAAAACAAAATAAACCAAGCCAAACCAAACCTAGAGGCAGTAGCCCAACACATCATACCATTCTGGAATCAGATCAACACCGTGAGCAAATTAAAAACATTCCGAACCGGATTCGAAGCTGCAATCTCGAAATTTTGGATTCCCAAGTTTTCATTACTGCGAATTGTTTTCCACGATTATTTTACGTTATTTTTTGCGACGATTTTTTTTCTTTGTACTATAACAATATTTATAACTTGGAAATAAATTTGGGAATAATCAAAATTAATTACGAAGACTCCACTGAAAGTCACCCATGAAATAAAAATAATTATTTGTAAGCAAAGTAAGGATATACGTACATCAAATTCTCTTTAAATTAAGTGTCAGCAGAAGAATTATCATTGAATTTGTAAAAGGTAATCTTAAATATTAATGCAATACTTAAATGCAGCGATAAATTTTGAGTTCTGTAGTTTATTGCTGTCTATTGCATCTACTCCTTCCTACCTATTGTGATGAAGGCACAATCAAGACCCCCACCCCGCAGGAGCTACTTTAAATGTCGCCCGATACTATACTTATAAACACCTGTCTTTGCTGCTTATATATATATATATATATATATATATATATATATATATATATATATATATTTATCAAGGGGAAAAATTTAAAACGTTGCGAAAAATCAGGTAATAAATTTATATCAGCAAGTACGTTTTTAATAGCTGCCTCATCAAACCGAAATTACAAAATGGTTTAAATTTGTCCAGACAAAATATTATAAAAACATTTTTAAAATAAATCACAAGCGAACAGGAAGTCAAATCTAAACTGCTTGACCTAGACAAAATTATCTGTGGATTTATATGGAGGAGGAAAAAGAAGAAGCAACGTGTCAACACAATGAACAGTGTTAGGAAGAGGAAATACAAATGACAGCTAGTGAAATACATTGTAATTAAATCAAAATTTTAAGCTGGTTTTAAATATATCTTTGTTATACGCCATTATCAACTGATTCATTTTGCTTTCTACCATTTCTCATTGTAAGCAAAAGAATCATGATTATCTAAACGGACTTTCTAGGTAGAAAATAAAAAAAGTCCCATCAAAATCGATAAACATTTGAAATATGTCTTCTGTGTTTCTAGTTTTCTATGTAAAAACGGATAATCAGTATTAATATCCAGACGATAAAGAAAACGAAAAATGTGATGCCAGCATTCAATTTTATTCAATAAGCATTAAACATTTGAACTATGCAGAAGATGTATTTTGTATTCACAAAAGCATGTGACTGCTTGCCATCAATATTCCAGTGTTATTTTCTTCCTCTTCTACTTTTTCGAATTATCAGCCAATCAGTTAATTTCTTTTGAATCTCTCTCTTCTCCGACAATTTTGAATTACCAGCCAATCAATCTCTTTCTTCTCTCCCATTGCCTTTTAAAATATATCTAGCTCTCTTAATCTTTTGAATTACTGGCCAATTGTTTTCTCAATTCTTGTTTATCTAATTTTCTCGAGGAATTAAATACCTTCTTTTTTATATCATTTATAGTATTTTCCCTCTTTTAAATATTTTCACTCTTCTTTCTTTGCCATCTTTTTGATTGAATTCCATAGTCTCTGTCGAAGTTTACGTTTTTCAGCAATCGGTATTAACTAAGCATAGTGTACATAGTGCAATACAAGATTAGATGGAACTCGATAAAATTGTATGGCAGTAATTCTTACGATTCATATAGGTGCTTCTATCTATCTATCTATCTCAACCTCTTCATATATA